TGGTTTGGGTTTGATGTAGGGAAGAATTGAATAATGTTATGGAGAGGAAATCGATTTGAATTCAAGAGAATTGCATCGTGCTTTGAGGAAAAACGTTATGAAAATTTTGGAAGAAAAAACTATTTTAATTTAATTGATTTTGGTCCACGTTGTCAAAATATTTAACACTGTTACGTCCACGTATGATTTTCATCTATCATGTGGGTTTTTTTGTCCATGTGGATGGAGGGATTTTAAATGAGTGATGGATGGGTAACTTTGTTTAAAAGTGGGTGAGTGATTGATAACTTTTCATTTCTGAGTGAGTAAGTAGTAACCAAAGTGAAATGTCATTGATTGATTATTTAATTAACTCGTTCAAATCCCTATGAATGATTGAATTCCGATGGCACACTGTCCAAACCAAATCCCAGGGAATTCATACCATCCCCCACCTAAATTCCCAACACTCAGCCTCTTTTCCCACAATTCTTTAAAACATTTTATCTCGATCCTAAAATCAGTGGGCTTTACTCAAGTTAGAGCACAACGTCCTCATCCTCGCTTTAGAAGTACTTAGGACCATCGGTGGCAGTGAAGATGGGGGTGGTGCATGACAGCAAAGTGATGGCAATCGCGGTTGAGGGAGAGATAGGTAGAGAGTTAAGATTAGAGATCGTAATGTTTGTAAAGAACAAGTCTTCAAACTCTTATGTTTCAATTTCTTAAAATAAAAATCGCATCTGACATAATTTTCCCAAAAAATTAACCATTTGGAATTGCCTTGGACCATTAATAGCTGGTTCTTGATTAAGTCCAATTCATGTAATTTACAACTGTATTAATGTTTTTATTTATTTATTTTTTATCGTATTCGTATTTTCAAACTTTCATTACTTAACATATTTCATTTCTAATTACGAGTTTTATTCAAAAGGTGCGTGAGAGGGCATATAAAATCTATTTATCCATCATATTTAAAAATAAATATAAAAGTATGATAAAATATTTTTCCTTAATTCAAAGCATGCAAACAAACTATTTGGACTGATACAACCATAAAAGATGAAGTGGTAATTTATGGAAGGTTAAAGAAAATAATTCGATCAAAAAAGCTAGGGACATGAATACCACAACGAAAAATAAAGTTATAATGAATTTTAAGGCATTGAGAAATGTGACGATGAAGATACTGGCACATAAATTAATGTTGAGCATCAATGAAACTGAATAAACATGTCGAAACCATAATCGACATGTCTAAAGAGACGTGTTAGAACTCAATTTTTTCTCTTTTAACACCAAAACACATTATTATCACTTGGCCTCCCTCCAGAGTCCAGAGTGAGTTAACTGTGAAAGTAACTATAATAAAGCACCATTATGGTTTAGTTAACTGTCAAACTCCCATGCACACATAGCATAGCATCTCTCAAGAAATTTATGGTTTAGTTAGCTGTCAAAGTTAACCATTTATTAAGTTGTCCCTAAAGACAGAGACCCAAAGTACAAAAGCACATCAGAGTCTTTAAGCAATCATCTTTAGCAATTTTATTTTTCAAAAAAGGAAAGAAAAATTGCACAATGTGCCTTCAATATATTGCACTTGTAGCAACTTCGACAACTATGCATCATAGTTACACAATTTGTTCTCGATGAATGAAAAATATTCAGATATAACTAGTCTTGTCTTTATATGAAATGCGTCACGCATCATAGTTACACAATTTGTTCTCGATGAATGAAAAATATTCAGATATAACTAGTCTTGTCTTTATATGAAATGCGTCACGAGACAAACGGTCGACCAATCTTGACAAGAATACATCTTGAGATCAATAGCTAACCCAACATTCAAGAAAAAATTATTCGTTTGGACTTGAATGGATTCATTAATAGTCCGTTATATATTAGTTCTGGCTAGTATAGATCTCATCCATCTTTAATTCAAAATACATCGCCGATGAACAGTTGATGAGTCTTGACAATAATATTTTGAGAACTGCTACATATACACCATGCCATGCAACATGGTGTTAAACCATCATTTTCCTAATTTTTTTTACGGGTCAATTGGGAGAGTCCATTCTTCAAGACAAATTTATTTCTTTGGNAACCATCATTTTCCTAATTTTTTTTTCGGGTCAATAGGGAGAGTCCATTCTTCAAGACAAATTTATTTCTCTGGACTTGGCATGAAACATTAATAGCCAATTTTGAATGATCGGGAATACATCTCGAGGTCAAATAATTGCCTTTCAATTTTGCACGTGCCAACTTGGTCAGAGACAATGAGAAAATCGAGATTAAATTGGGCATTTGTGAAAAAAATAAAATAAAGATCTGTTTTTCTTTTCTGCTTTTTTTTTTTAATAATAAAAATTCCAGTCAAACAATTTGAATTCCACAATTGAGTACGACGTACGCGCCAACCGGAAAAACAGTCAAATAAATGCGCACAACGTGGTATTTCCATGTGCACCGGCCGCCAACTCCACGTGCGTATGTAGCGAGTGGGAGAAACGCATCTCCCTTCATCAATGGAAGAACAATGGATATTGTTTAAAAATAAAACAAATTAAATTTATTATTGATAAGTTTTATTCTTTGATGGCCTTAAAATTTTAAATTTGAATATTCTCTCCGTCCCATTTATATGGGTTATGCTACATGTACATTATGGTACACATAATGGTGCCCATAATGTACATGTGGCGCTCTGGCCCACAGGCACTCCGCCCAATAGGGGGCGCCACATGTACATTAATTATATAATCTCATTTCTTTATTGAGAATGTTTTGTTTTGTTCGCTTATTAAATTACACTTATTTAATTTGTATAGTTATAATTTATTAATAGTAGTTGTTGATAATTAAATAAGGTTAAACTAGAAAAAAATTTGGCAAAAATTATTTTTTTCAATAACATTAAATATTATTTCTTAATCCATGTGAAAAATAAAATCAGCATATATAAATGGGACGGGGGAGTAGTATTTTTTGAAGAATAAATGGTTAAAAAGTAAGAAAATATTTTAAATTTATGTGTAAAATATTTTATTTGGGTAAATGTGTGATTGAAAATGAATTTAAAAAATAAATTAAATTAAAAAGAATGAAGCAGGTATGTTTAGAGCTTGTTTAAGAATGATTAAAATCCAATTAAAATTGAAAATATAGCCGTTATTGGGTCACACTCGTCTAATAAAAGTCAATTCCAACGATTATATTTTCAATTTTAATCTGATTTTAATCTCTCCCAAACAAGCTCTTAATATAATACAACTTGACAATTAATTAATTTTTTTTAATATTCTTTGAAAAGAGATGTCAATAATTTGATAACGTTAATAAATATGATTGTATAGATAAAAATTAGGAAGATCAAAAGCAATGGAGACCTATTTGAATTCCAAAAACCAACAAGAAGTTCCACACTCTTCTTTGATATGCTTTGTGAACAAGTGGCAGCCTCGACCATCATCATGCTGTAAAATACGC